TCTTTCCTGAATCACAAAACTTTTTATGTGTCTGGCATATTGAAAAAAACATATTGACCAATTGTCATAATCAGTTCCCTACAGACGAAGAATGGATTGAATTTTTGGGCAACTGGATTACTGTAATAAAATCTAAAACAGAGGAAGATTTTAATGAAAAATGGGAAGAATTGATGAAAAAATATAATAAGAATCTATCAATTGTTAAGTATCTGCAGGACACATGGTTACTATTAAAAAAACATTTTGTGAGTCTTTGGACAGATCGTTACTTGCATTTGGGTAATGTAACCACATCACAGGTAGAAGAGTCCCACGCAATGCTAAAAAAGTATCTTCAAGTGTCGACAGGTGATCTTCATGTTGTTTATGAAAGAATCTCTTTAGCATTGGAAAATCAACACCGGGAAATTCAAACTATGATTTCTCAAGAGATGATTCGAATTCCTCATGCTCAAGCTAAGCCATTATACTTACAGGTCATTACCAAAGTTTCTATATTTGCATTGAAAAAAGTGCATGAGCAATTATTAAAAGTATCCTGTGCGACTTTAAAAAACCCATTACAACTTTGTAGTGGTACTTTCGCATCATCAATGGGTCTTCCTTGTACCCACAAAATTCAGGAACGTCTTATTAATAATTAATATCTGCAACTTACTGATTTTCATCAACATTGGTGGCTTCAAGAATATCAATTGCTTCCACAAATACCAAATAAAACTGAAGATCCTTTACAACAATGGTGGCAAGAATATGAGCAGATATTTGATACTTGGCCAATTAATCAACAATTAGCAGCTCTAGATAAAATGTCAAATTTATTTGAAGAGCCAGCTATAGTAATTCAAAATCCGCAGGTGTAACAAACAAGGGGACATCCAATTGGAGCAAGAAATAAAATTCGATCATCTATACAAAGAGATCTATCCGCCTTTGAATTTGTTAAATCAGAAAAATGTAACAAGAAATGTGGTTTATGTCAAAGAATTAGACACAATAGTAGAACATATTCTAGTAATGGAAAATAAAAAAAGACATCAAAATTCGTACATAGCTAAAGTTGTAATTAGTCTCAATTGATTCTAAAGAAATTACTAGTTTTCAAGATAAATTTTTTATTATGATACTTATTGAAGATAACAAAAAAACTTTCTAGAATTTAAAATTTCTTGAAATATATAGTAGTATTGGAATCATGATTACGGAACTGGCCTGGTTCTACTGGTCTTAACAAAATTGTTATTTTTTTAATAGATTTTTTTAGAGTTATTAATAAAATTTATTTACAATTATTTTTAAGAAGTATTACTTATTAGAAGTAGAACTTCTAAAATTAATAAATTTTAAAAATTATTATTTTCGATTGTCAGACCCTATATGCATAACATGGGATATAAAATCATGTGATATATGATATAATTGAATGTGCATGGTGCAAATAACAAAATCTATGGTGCGAATAGCAGTTCCCTAAATTAATAACTATTTGTATTGTTGTTATAAATTTTAAAGAAAATTTTAAAATTAATAATAATTCAATAGAAACAAGTTCAGTATTTTCACATAAATATGATAAGTTTATTGTTGCTTGAATTGGAAAAACTGGTGGGATTGAATAGATTGTTAATGGAGTTGTTGGAGCAGTATAATGTGAAGTTACTGTTGTTATTGGGGTTGTTATTGATATAGTTGAGTAGATTGTTGAGGTGGTGTGACGTAGAGTTGATGCTGTTACTGTTTGAAACCAGTTTAGACTTGTTTAATTGTTGTATTATTGTGTTAACAGTTTGTGATTAGTTGTTAAGAAAGTGATAATCATTTGGATAGGTGGAGCTGGTTTTGGTTTTTGTGTTTAAAAAAAAATTTTTTTTTGTGCATGATAAGTTGGCACAGTATTATGTATCAAAAGAGAAGTAGTTGATAAAATTAAGATTGAGTTGAAATAAGCAAGAGATCTAGAAACTTTGCTTGAGTATAACTTAAGAAGTAGATTTGTAGTATTAAAATATGATAAGATAATACTAGTAGGGCACTGGTGATAAAAGATGAAAGCAGACAAGTTCATAAAGGAAGATTGCCACAGGCATTTCCCCATGCAAACAAAAGATAAGTGAAACTCCCAAACTTGCTTGATCTTTGCCCAGAGGTCCCATCCTGATGCAACAGTGGTCCTTAAAGTCCTTATGTCCTTAAACTTATGACATAAATGGCATGTTAAAAGAGTGGTGAGTGCTTCTTCCAGGAATATTGCCATAAAAGGAAATTTTCCAAGAATCAATAGTGAATGAGTGTGAGTTTTTTTTTTAAAAATTTTATTTAAAAAGTTATTTTATTTAAAAAAATAAAATTTATTATATAAAATTATCTATATTTAATATTTTTTAAATAATATTTTTTATTTATATAGTGCAGAATACTTATAACCTACAAACTTTTAATTATACAGTCAAATCTGAAAAATTAAATTACATACTATAATATTTATATATTAATATATAATTGTAAGCAAGACTTTCAAACTAAGTAGACTTTAATCAAAAGTTTCATTTTATTACATCAGTTGTCTTAAAAGTTCTTGAGTTCTTGAACTGAAGCTTATTTGTAATAAAGAGTATAAAATATTTTTTCTTACTTAAAATTACTATAAAAAAATTTTTTTAATAAAATAGATATAATCAAAAAAAAGTTTTTTTATTATGTGATTTAATTTAAAAGGTTTCGATTTTATTAAAACTCAAGCAATTAAAAATTGTTTCTATAAATTTGCTTTTTAGATTCTTTTATATCATTTTATAATAAAATTTATATTTGCAACTCTTTTATTTTTTTATTTTTTTATTTTTTTTAACTAGCCAGGTCTTGCCCAATATACTTTATTAGTTTATAATGTTTATATTTGTTGTTTACATTTAAGTTTACAATTTATGTTATAACTTCATTTCTATTTTTATATATTCAACTATATCAGATTTTTCAAATATTGGCTTTGAGCTATTTAATTTATTCTTTAGCCTGGGCTATCAAAAGTGATCAAAGATTAATGTGTCAAGGCTTCACTAATGTTGGTAAATAATATGTTGATGTAGTTATTATGTTCTGCATTCTATTTGTATTCTGTAAACCATTTTGTCATTTTTTCTGCCCATCTTTTTGCTATTTCTGTTTTTCCTTCTGTGTTGCGTATCCCTATTTATTTAGCTTCTGGCTTTTTATTTTTCTCTTTTTACCCTTTATTTTTCTTTTTTTTTTCTTTGCTATGATGCTATTGTTTTCCTCCCATTCTATCACTTTGTTGCATTTTTCTTTCTACTATTCTTTGAGCTTTTCTTCTATTTTCTTTGTGATTACCTTGCATGTTTTTGATACCCTTGTGCCAACTCTGCTTTTAATGTATTTGACTGTTTCCTTTGTGAATATCAATTTTGCTATGAGCATTCTTATATATTCTGAGTCTATTATTCTGTATTCCTTGTTTCTTGCCTCTTTTTGTACTTTCTTCTCTATCCTGGCACTAATCTCCTGCTTCATAATTCTGTTGAACTCATTTATAATGTTTTCTCTCCAATGTTTATGTATCATATGTTGATATGTTTCTTTTTCCTTTTTGCAATATGGGCATGTTACTGTGTTGTATAGGTCTGATCTTTGTGTTGCTAGTTTGTCGAATATTGGGGGTTCTTCATTAAACATTCTGAATTTGAATCTTCTGTTTTTGTAGTCCTGTTTGCTTGTCATATTGCTTATTATTGATAGTTATTGTGCTTTGTGTGATATTTTCCAGTCTATGTTTTGTTCTCTTCATTAATCCATACCATATGCCTGTTTTGTATTATCCATTTTGCTTGCCATTGTATGCTCTATTGTCGTTTAATAAAACTGTTAATATTTGTATCTAATACCTTCTTATTTCATATTGTATTAATACAGGTCTTCCATTTCTTCCCCGATCTTGATTTTTTGTTTTTTATTAACTTGTATATCCTCTTTAGCTAGCTCATTTGCTTTTTTGTTTTTTTTGATTCCTGTATATGCTTTGACTTTTTTTAATTCTTTTATTTCTTAATATAAAAAACTTTAAAAAATTATATAAATTCTTTATAGATTATAAATATTCTATACTATACTATCATTATTATAGTTATTTCAAATATCAGTCAATTTAAATATTGCAATTATTTTAAATATCACTATTATTCCAAATATTACTGTCATCTCAAATATTATAATTGTTTTAAATATTACAATTATCTTTAAGATTATAATTATTTCAAATATTACTGTTATTTCAAATATTACAATTATTTCAAATATTACTGTTATTTCAAATATTGCCATTATTTCAAATATTGCAACTATTTCGCAATTATTTTAAATAATTATATAAAATTTGATACTATTTATTGTTAACATTAATTTAGTAAGTCTGTTATTAGTGGCAGGTCAAATTTATATATAGTAATATTGAGATAAGTTATTTTTCTTTCTCTACTTAAGGCATAAATTTGATTTGGCCAATCTTAAACCTATTACTAACTCTTCTTTTATCTTTCCTAAATAATTTAAGTTACAGTCTTCTTTAATAAATTCAAAAATAATTCTTTTGTAGTAATTTTACTCTTAAAAAAATAAATTAATTAATAACTTTTTTTTAAGTATATCTATTATACTACTATTTATAACAATTTTTAATTAACACTCATATAACTATTTTTGTATTCTCTTTTCAATAAAAAAAGAATACTAATTAAATTTATTATGGCTAAAGTTAAAGTTAAAGTTGTTTAATTATTAATTTGTCTCTTTTTTTGTATTTTCTTACTTCTATTTATATCTCTATTATTATTTCTAACTAATATGTTATAAAATTATAATACTATAACTTTTATAAACTACAGTATTATACTATAAAATAAACTATCTAAGTTTTTTACTAGAACATTTCTATTACTTTTATTAGATATATTATATAAATATTGCATTATCAGGTCTTATCCAAATATTTTTTCTGTCAATACTATAAATCTAATTATATATATATATATATATTTGTCTCTAATCAGACTGCAAAAGTTATGTTTATTTATCCAATTTTGGAAAACAGTAGTATAATATACATGATAATATACTAAAGCTAAACTATCTTGTAATTGCAGAACACCCGTTGTTACACTTGATCTTTGCCCAAGATCATCACTACCCCTTGTCCGATTTTCACTAGCATTTACCCTTGAAATGTTACC